TGACAAACCAACAAACTAATACCATGGTACTATGATGATAAACATGTAAAAATGTCACTTGACTTTGCTTCTTTTTTGCAACAATAAATACCTTGAAATAAACAAATAAATACCTTGAAATAAACAAATAAATGCCTTGAAATAAACAAAAAATACCTTGAAATAAACAAATAAATACCTTGAAATAAACAGATAAATGCCTTGAAATAAACAGATAAGTAATAGATAATGAATAGATGAAAATTAAACTGAAATTAGTAGATATTTACTTGCGTGCCAACGACATAAAAATAAATATGTGAAGAGCAATGTTCAGATGAAAAAAAAACAAAACAAAACCAAAATTACTTACTGTATCTAACAATTCTATAACTTTAGAAATAAAATAGAACCATGAAGCACCAGCCATCTAGAATGAAGATTCATTGCAAATTTTGTTTTAAATACAGGCTTTGGGAAAAATGCACTTAACCATTTGGTAATACTGTAACGGAGTCGCACAGTGTGGACTCTCTGAAGGGAATGCTGGGTTGACAAACAGACTGGCAACATGTTGCCTTGCCTCTATAGTAAAAAATATATTTTTTATATGGCATATTTCTTATATGGCAACATGTACATAGGGCCTCAGCACATTGTCCTATTCTAACGACAAGACGTGTATTCCGTGTTACGAATTCTGCAGATATTTCAAATTTGGGAGCCCCTAGTTATGGAACAAACTATAAGCTGTTCCTAAATGCTTGTCAAAAGAAAAAAAGAAAATGTAACTTACCCTTATGGCCATTGGTGTATTGCTATAATCAACTACCATACAACCTTTATCAAAATCTACATGTAACACACTAACAAAAATCTGAAAGTGACAAAATAAGTTTATTGTACCCCCACCTCATTTCCAACAAATCTGAAAATAACATTTTTTTTTTACATTTTTGCCCCAAATCAATTCTTTTTTTCAAAAAATTTCTCCTGGAAGAAACCTTTCTCTAGAGATGCATCATTTTGAATCTGTTTTGAATCCATCACTGTTTGTTTCCGAATCTTCCAGAAATGACCGATTTAATAAATCAGGGGCAATTAGTCTGCAAAACTAAACCTAAAATGTTCCAGTCATCTGATTGGTCAATCATTCAAATTGATTTTAAATTTTGTTTTATTATCCAATCAAATTACTGTATTTCTTAATACTGGATAATTCTTATCTTAAGTTAAGTTTTTGAGAATAAGGCCCCATACTGATCATATCATCAGTAAATATCAAAATCTGTTCTTACCTCATATAATGTATAACTGGTTAAAATGACTAAAGAAACATTATAAGTCATAAGCAGTTTGGTAAATACGTATGGTTTTCTATTGGCCATATGTTGAGGACCAAGATGCTTGACTATTAATAAATAAATAGCTACTAATGAGATCACTGTTACTGGACGTTCCATAAGGGGCCAATCTTTAACTCTTGGGTCTGTAAAATTGAAGTAAGATAATGTATAATATAAAATGAATCAATTGTATTTTTGAGAACCTTATAGTTATTTTGGACTGTTTATGCCGTTTGGATTTGGTGTAGAAAAGCAGTCTACTTGGTGGCATAAATGATAACCTTTATCATAAAGACATTCCAACACGATTATGATAATGTTATCTCTTTAAATGGCCACAGTATTGTCCGGGAGACTTGCAGGCAATTGTTTCACAATGTACAAGGATAAATGAAAAATTTAATTTTGAAAGTAGGGGGTGAGAAAACCTGAGTCAGCCCTTTCCTTGGGGCGAAGGAGTGGGTATACCCTATTGGTTTCTATAGCCTATTGGATAACTATTAAATTTTATTGGTTCAAAAGGAAAATAATAGCAGAAAATATTTTGTTTCAAAGAATGTAATTCAGTCGGAATTTTAAATTTGTGAGATTAAACAAACAGCTAGATCAAGGCTAGAGCTTGTACTAATACATGTACTACCATAACAAGATCAAAGTTCACCAAAGTTCCTCTAACTATAAAGCTTTTTTATGTATCCTATCTAAAACATTGCATATAAATCAATAATTATAAATATATATGGTCCAATGTTCAAAATTGATGTGTTGATTTTCAGAAATAAACGCTGCAGATGTTACAGACAATTATATAGTTAATATCAAGGCTTTTTACCTGCATATTGGTGATACAGACGGCTAACATTCCACGTTAATGATGTTCTATTCATTTTCGAATCTTACAACCGTATCTGAAATATGGAAAAAATTGTTTTGAAAACTAAAAACAAACTGGTGAAAATTGTCACATAATTATGTCAAAATAAAATGAGCAAGAGAAGTTAAAAGTACAATATATGGTCATGACGAACGCTTAATTAGAAATGTATTCAAATTTGATGGTGACATGAGAACATTTAGTACAGATGTTTAGATCGTCAGTTTTACGGAGGTCATGTCCCAGTCCATTCCACACAACTCGCAAAATCCATCCATTCATTATTAGGCTAGGTCTATGGCATTAACATCTGAACTTTAAAACGATATTTAATCAGTGTGAGGCAGATCCCGACCATTTTCCCAACAATAAGCCGCGATTAGACGAGGTACAGTGTCCGGTGTGGGGATTATCGATACAATCGAATAGGAAATTTAATAGTAGGCAAGAACCTAAGCGTGTCCGAACCGTGTCTGGACCCGTTCACTTCTTTTTCTTGGGTATCGATTGTATCGTAGGCTACAACGCATCGGACCTCGTGTATTCGCTTCTTCTATTTTCTTGTGTATCGTTCATCCCACATCTGACACCGCACCGGACACTGTACACCGTACATGACACCCTTCGTCCTTCGGTCGTACCTCGTCTACTCGATGATAAATTAGTTTCCAAACGTGTCGGCCTTCTTCACGGAACTACTACGTCACCTGGATACATGACGTTACAACAATTTCTATGACGTTTTGCTGTCGCACTTTTTCGTTCGTCATATTTTTTTTTTCATCCTTTGGAAAATAAACTGTAGGCCAAAAGAAACTTCACCACTTTAAAGTTTAATCTGAATTTTGACTAAAGAATATGTATATATATATATAGCACGTTCGGAACTAATCCATCCAAAATATATTGCCCTCAGTGGTGGGAAAATCAAGTGAAAAGCGCGTGCCCCGTGAATGCACGTGCACCAAAAAAACGGGTTGATTAGCATGTCGGGAGTAAGACCTACCTAAACGGTATACAGCAAGTTTATAAAGTCAAAGTTTCCGTGTAAACTGTATTATACAGCTTCTATAAGCTTACATTTCACAGTTTGAGACAGAAATTCTATGGAAGATCAAGATTAGCCTAGGTTAGGCCCCCTACAGTTAGAAAATCAACACGGGGATTCTCCATTTTGGCGGGAATATAATATGTTAACAAATTGAGAGAGAATAACTGAGTGATTGATGCATCTTACTATGCATATACCGTGAAAAAAATATTGGCCAATATATAGCCTTATTCGCTTTAAAGCATAGCATGGGCAAAAATGACCAAATCGTCTGTCTCTGAATCTCTTTCTCTTTAACTCGTTCGTTGGTGACGCCAAAACATGTGAATACGAAAAAATGCGA